AGCACCACGGATGTACCCTGATCTAGTGATAGACAGATATCATTTAGGACCCTCAGTAGAGCCGACTCTGTACTATGGCCAGACCTGAACCCTGATTGGAAAACCTCAAACAGATCAGAGTCAGCTAAATGTGAGACCAGCTGCTGATAAACGACTTTCTCAAGCGGTTTTGATGTAAAAGGCAGGGTAGAGATAGGCCTGTAATTTTCGATCACAGAGACATCAGCACCAGGTTTCTTCAGGGTCGGCCGAACAACTGCTGCTTTCAAAGCAGCTGGGACCACACCTGTGCTGAGGCTCCCATTAATAATCTGACCAAGTGATGGGCCAAGACACGGAAAGGCAGCCTTCCAGAGACGAGGCGCAGAACCTCAAGTGGAGGGCCAGATGGCTTCTGCCTCGCAACAAGCTTACTCAGCTCAGAATAAGAAACAGTATTGAGGGAGCTCAGGGTGGGTGGTGATGGAGGAACTGGAACAGGGTCAACAGAGTTACCAGAAATAGCTGCTCTAATGCCTGATACTTTATGAACAAAGAATTTGTGGAAATGTTGAGGGTTTCCAGCAGCTGTTGGAGACATGAAGCTAGGCTCCTGATACACCAGAACAGAGTTCACTGTTTTGTAGAGAATCTTGGGATTCTTAGAGTTTGTTTCGATGATGTCTGCAAAATAGGCAGTTCTAGCAACCCTCACTGCATCCTGATAAGCAACCAGAGATGCTCTGAACAACTCACGCGAGACCTGTGGGCAGTGGTGGCACAGGAGTTAAGCGCTCGCCCCGTAATCGGAAGATTGCAGGTTCAAGCCCCGCTCAGTCTGTCGCCGTCGTTGTGTCCTTGGGCAAGACACTTAACCCACGTTGCCTGCTAGTGGTGGTCGGAGGGATCAGTGGCGCCAGTGCTCGGCAGCCTCACCTCTGTCAGTGAGTCCCAGGGCAGCTGTGGCTACATCGTAGCTCATCACCACCAGCGTGTGAATGTGTGTGTGAATGGGTGAATGACTGGTTGTGTTGTAAAGTGCCTTGGGGGGTTCCAGGACTCTAGAAGGCGCTATATCAAAATACAGGCCATTTACCTGTAGGCCATCCTTTTTCCACTTTCTCTCAGAGGATCTACATGCCCGCCTACAAGCCCGTGTGACATCAGAGAGCCAAGGCTCCCTCCTAGGCCTAGACTTGCAAAGCTTGAGAGGGGCAACCACGTCCAGGACCTGATTACAAAGTACATCAAAGTGTTGTGAATAGTGATCAATGTTGGATGGATCTGGGTTAAAGGTCTCTAACCTTACAGACATACAGTCCACAGACTTTGCAACAGCAAGATTTAACAAATAAAAATGGAGGTTTTAAAGGGGACCTAGACTGCAGTCAGTCAGTAATCTAATGCTGATCTTCGAGCCTCTATAAAGCACGTAACATTTTGTTTTGAGCTTAAAATGTCCCAGGAGCCCTAAGAAATGGCCAACTACAACATGCATAGTAAGGCTCATTATAAAAGACCCAGTTTCCCCACCCACTTCACCTGTGTGTGTGCGTGTGCGTGTGCGTGTGCGTGTGCGTGCGTGTGTGTGTGTGTGTGTGTGTGTGTGTGTGTGTGTGTGTGTGTGTGTGTTGGGGTTTTTTGAAGAGAGACAAGTGAAAACAGAAACTAAACTACAGTCAGGGTTTCTCAGGAAGTCCCCACTCAAGCCTTATATACCATTGAAAACAATATTTGCACTACATATAAATAATTTGATAGGTTAGCACTCCTGCACATGTTCCGTGTTAAATTTTTTATATATTTTGTGATTTTCTTTCCTGTTCGTTTGTTCAATAAATTTCTGAAAATAAATATGTCCCCACTGCAGCAGTGAGTCAAGAATGAGTGTGTGGCAAAGACAGGCTGCTTGTATAAGGGTTGTAGAAGGCTTGCAGACCAACAATGAAGAAAAGTACCAGACTACAAACTGTGGAGCTATCAGACATTCACTTATAGAGCTCCAGACGTCACGTGACTCTCAGAGAGTAGAAGCCATGTTGGCAGGCAACAAAGGTAAACAAAATTAAGGGGATCGGCTTGGATTTTACTTCGTCGGAGTTTACTTCACACTTTAAAACTGAAGAAATCGTTTTATATAGTCAGAAATTAAATAGACTAAACATCTCCGACCCTTACTGTGCCCCTGGGACACTTTTTAAAAACACCAGAAGCTGTCGGAGGGAACTTCTTACCGGACCTGGCCAGGGAACGCCTTGGGATTCCCCCGGAGGAGCTGGCCCAAGTGGCTGGGTAGAGGGAAGTCTGGGCCTCTCGACTGAAGCCTGGTTTATGCTTCTCCGTCAGCTCCGCAAGGGACAGACACGCACGGATTGACGGAAGCGTTTTGCTCTCATACTTCTCCGTCTCCTGGAGAGTGTTGCAAAGCAATTGCCCGGCAGGACCACAGAGGGCGTAGCGCTGTTCTGTGGTATCCTGTCATGTATCGGTCCAAGATAGTGTGTTTATATTGTGTTTTTTGTACATAAGAGACTTTTAACACGGACATATTTGTCTCTCATTCTCCTCCACTTCGTGCGCTCCCCACCTCTAAACCCACGTTTCCTGTCATTTCCGTCCACAAATAAAATGCTTGCTGCGCATCTTTTCACTCCTCCAGTCACGGGAGAATGAAACGTTCATATTTTTAGAGTTTTTTCGCGAGATATTCTTCAAGCTTCTCCGTGTCTGCCGCTAGTTATCCTCGGCTCTCTTTGCAATGGCGGCGCTGTAAACAACAGCGGCGTCCTGACCAATCACAAGCTTGCGTAATCCGTCTCGTTCGACGGATGTTTAAAAAAGTGGCCTCGACTCCGTACGTACTTGCGTGCCCTACGCAAGGACGGATAATGGCGTTGCGTGTCTCCACACTGATGCAGACGGAGAAGCATTAATCAGGCTTTAGGTTACTGCCCCGCGCCCCGACTCCGGATAAGCGGATGAAAATGGATGGATGGACAAATAACAGATTTACATGTAAGTAGTTTAAATAGAGTGCTGTGCTGTTTGAATGTATAAACTGAACGCCAAGAGAAATCACTAGTTTGATTTTTTTTCCGTGAATAAAATAAATATGTCAGGCAGGAACGTCTCAGGATCTGTCTGAGATCTGACTCGGTGAGACAGATAATAGCAATCCAAAGTGCTTTTGATCTGACAATTGATCAACCATTGCTTAAAAATGAAATACAGCTTAGCCGGTTAATTGCTGTGATCATAAGACACCTAAATGGCAGCACGCAGAACTCACGAGGCAACGTTTTACGTGATGTTTACTTGTTGCTATGAGTAATAAGACAGAAAAAGCCACGCCAAAATAAGTTTAGGAAGCCCACTAAGAATCGTAATAAAAGCATTTAAAATAAATACCATACACAGTTGAGGAAACGTTGGTTTAAGTACCTGATACAGTATGAAGTGGTCACTGCATAAGCGAAAACCTTTACTCTTGGGATCCCACAGTTTCATTTTAGCCCAGTCACTAGTGGGTTTTATTACAATGATCCAATGTTTGCGGCACTCCGGATCTTGGGGAATCCTGTAGATGGCTCATTCTTTATGTCGTCCGTGTCTGTTCTGCCTCCTGGGGCACAACAGAAATCTACCATATTTCCCATTTGATAGAGTTTCCTGACAATAACAAATAGCCCAGCTGCGGGCTTCTGCCTGCCAATATGGCGCCGTTTCGATTTGAACTGTTGCATGCCGGGAGAAGTGACGTCAACTCCCGGAGCTCTATAGTCTGGATTTTACCAGTATACTCTGAAACCTGAGTGGTGAGTGCTTGTTTTTTTCTCTTTGAACAAGGCTGTTGCTAGATGAAGCTAACGGCAAGCTGGTGCTAACAGAGGCCCGGCTTAGCGTGGCACTGCGGTAGCATTGCTGCGACCAGTAATGCTGACACTGAAGTGTGTTGGAACATGTAGCTGTATAAAGGAGTGGTTTCAAGGAAGTGCTCAGAAAGCAGTTTTTCTCGCGCGTTTTCCTTTCTAATTTACATAAAAAGTAGGTCACACACGGCTTTGACTTTATGGCATGCTACTTTTGACCACCCAAGCTGTCTTTATTCAACAAGGAAATTATGGTTTACATTCTAGGTTTTCTTTAACTTCAAGAAACAAGAATTTCAAGTCAAAAGGAACTTACAAGAAAATGTAAGTATTCCATTAATTATATTTCTAAATCAGTCTCAGCCACCAACACACAAAAAGTAAACTATACGTAACTACCTAACCCAGAAACAGAGGCCACAAGGAACCAATGGGCCCCCCTAGTGGCTGGTTACAGTATCAATTTCCCTTAATTTTCCCTTCCCTCTCCATTTAATTTAAACAGAAACAAAAAATAAAACGGAAAGTATTTTTTCCTTAAGTTGGTTCTTGTTGATTTGCATTGTTCTTGTTGCATATTCATATGTTCACATTTCTAAAAGATTTAGTTTTAATTGGTCATAAAAACATGATTTTGAGTGGAGGAGTAGGTGCAACTTTCAGCGTCATAAACTACTGCACTACTGCTCCAAGACAAGATTGTGGCTCTGGAAGAGGACATTTTTAGGCTTCACGTTTGAACAACAGATTTAAATATGTAGACTTATATTACTGGCATGCCGGAGATGTTCAAGAAATCAGCATTTGCTCTCAAATTCAGAATTAGTGCTTTTCCACAGCATATCCTTTACATTTCTTCTTTTCTGGGAAGCTTCCCCCCCCCCCCCCCCCCCCCGCCCCCCACCCCCACCCAGATTTCTTGTTTATACACCACTATGTGGCAAATTACAGTCAGATCTAAATCAAGCTTTCACATATCAAGCTTTCACATATCATGCATGTTTCTATGGTTACCGTTAAACATTCATTGTAAATGGGAATTTACACATATTCAGTATAGAAAGAAAAAAAAACTGAGGAAAAAACACACGGACATTTATAAATCGCCATAACAACAACAAATTCCACTGTGTTGCACACATTTCTACTCACCATGTGTATGGGTGTACTGGTCAGATCTCTCTCTGTCACCAGCCTGTCTTGGTCAGTGACGTAGAGGCCTTTCTGAGCCAATGCCTGAATGACAGCGTTGTGTCCCAGTAAAGGTTTGACAGCATCACTGCGGAGGATCAAGCTTCCCGCGCGGCAGTACAGCTCTGCAGACTGAAGGAGGCAGGCCACTGGAGGCTTCAGGTGTTCCTGCTTGTACTGGTCCCTGTAGAAGGGCTCAGCCAGTTCCTCTGGTACAGCATCTAAAGAATACAAAGAGTTAAAGTTACTGTTCTTCTATTAACAAATTCAACTGAGCAGAAAACTAGAAAAATTAAATGTGGGTTATTGAACATTAGGCCTATTTTTTCTAAGATTTTGTTAGTTAATGGCTTGATTTGTAAATGTGATTTCTTTGCTCTCTCTCACAGAATCCTGGCTGCAGCAAGAGGACTATGTTAGTTTAAATGAGTCGACTCCTTCTAATTATTTAAATCATCATATTGCTCAAAGTGCAGGGCGAGGAGGAGGAGTAGCAACCATTCTTCAATCAGACCTCTTAATCAATCCCTTACCAATTAATAGTTAGTTCTTTTGAACATCTTATTCTTAGTTTTCCTAATCCAGACTGCAAAACTGTAAAACCACTCTTGTTTGTAGTTTTGTATCGACCATCAGACCCTTACTCTGAGTTTTTGGATCAGATCTCAGATGTTTTATCTGATTTGGTGCTAAATAATGATAAGGTCATTGTAGAGGGGGATTTTAACATTCATGTGGACATTGAAAATGATAGCCTCAATGTAGACTTTAGTAATATCTAAGGCCCTGTCCACACGTAGCTGGGGATCTGCCAAAACATAGATATTTTTCTATGTTTTGGCCTGTCATCCACACGAAAACGGAGTTTTTGCACACAAAAACGGATCTTTTTAAAAACTCCAGCCAAAGTGAAGATCTGCGTTTTCTCCGTTTTGGGTGTCTGCGTGTGGACAGACAAAACCGGAGTTTTAAGGTCCGCAACGTCACTTTCCGCGACAAAAAAAATGCTGACATCATGTGTGCGACCTGTGTTTACACTAGCCGACAGCATGGATGCCCTCAGAGCTGCGCTCGCTTTATCAATTGTCCAAGCGCTTTTTGCTTGTTTGTTTTTGCAAGCGGAATTACTGCTCCTTGCGGAAGACCACAGACGAAGAACGAGGTTAAGAACGGGGGAAGTACTGCCGCCTACAGGTCTGGCATGTCCATAACAACGTATTTATCCGTGTACGTGTGGACAGAGTTTTTTTTAAACGAGGTGGTGTGGATGCAAGTTTTTGGAGGGGCGGATATTCGTTAAAAAAAAAACGGCTACGTGTGGACTAGGCCTTAGACTCAATTGGTTTTACCCAAAGAATACATTGCTCCACCCACTCCTGCCATCATACATTAGACATTGTGCTGACTTATGGCATTGAGGAAAATATTAATAATCCTAAATTTTAGTACAGTTGCCAAATTTACACAGCATCATAGCTCTGAACCATCTATTCCCTTAGCCCTCAGCAGCAACAACTGGGATTTTTCACGAGTAAAATTAATTCTATTAGAAACAAAATCATTAGCATCCTTCCTAATGCGATTTCTTCTTCCTCAGTAAGTGATGCAGCATCAGAGGCAACTGTAGAACCTCATCTGTGTTTGAACCGTTTTGATCCAGTTGAGCTTTCAGAGTTATCAAAAATTATTAGCTTAATCTAAACCTTCAGCTTGCATTTTAGATCCAATTCCAACCAAATTATTTAAAGATGCATTTCCTTTGGTTACTGCCCCCATTCTAGATATAATCAATCTATCCTTAGTAAATGGGTACGTAACACAGGATTTTAAGGTTGCTGTAATCAAACCTTTATTTAAGAAACTTTCTCTGGATCCAGATGACCAAATGAATTATAGGCCAATATCTAACCTTCCATTTTTATCCAAAGTCCTTGAGAAAATAGTGGCCATCCAAGTATGTGAGCATTTAAACCCTAATGGTCTGTTTGAGGACTTTCAGTCTGGTTTTAGAGAGTATCACAGCACTGAAACTGCATTAGTGAGAGTTACAAATGATATTCTCATGGCCTCAGATGAGAATCTCGTGTCTGTTCTAGTCTTGTTAGATCTGAGTGCTGCCTTTGACACAGTTGAATACAATGTTCTTTTAGAAAGGTTTGAACATGTTGTAGGGATCAAAGGAACAGTGCTAGGCTGGTTTAAATCCTACCTGTCTGATAGATTTCATTTTGTAAATGTACATGACAAATCTTCTTCATACTCCAAGGTAGGGCGGGGCGATATGGCAAAAATGGAATATCACGATTTTTCCAATATTTTATCACAATTTCAATTTTATCACATTTTATCATTTTTTATCCATGAATAGCATAACTTCAATTGTGTATTAAAGAAGATAAACATTGAATAAATAAACATTTATTCATATTAGGGATAATCAACACAGTGCTAACACACTTATATTTTAAACTCACACCAGAGATGATAAAAGCCCTGAGAGAAACAATTACAAAATCAGTTTTTCTCGTTTTTCAAGTAACTTAACATAAATTAAAATCGTAAACATATTTAAAGTGCAAACATGTCAATTGCAAACGTATTGTGCAAACATTAACTTGTTCAAAATACTATGTAGCTCCCAGTTGCTTATGTAGTGGATAGTTAAGCTCAAATACGGCTCTGATGTGCGGCTGGACCAGAGATCGCTTGTGGTAGCAAATAACTGCGCATTCTGAATATTTTCTGCAGCTCTCACTTTGCATTCAGCGTACATGCGTGGAATGACGGTGTTCGAAAAATACTTGCGGCTGGAAAACTCGTAGCGCGGATCCAATGTTTTTATCATGTTCTTAAATCCCACTCCTACTGTTCGCACGGGACACAAATCTTTAACCAAGTGGTACGTCACTGCATCTGTCACGCTGTTCCATCGTCTGCTGTCTCTGTCATAAGGAGTGAGTTTTGTGAGTGTTTCTGTTAGCGTATGCTGCCTGGAAGAAGCACTAGCCGCTGCCGCTGCAGCCACAGGCTTTTTAGCTTTAGCTGCCAGCTGGCTCTCATTGTATTGTTTGGGATGCCTTCTTGTCAAGTGATTAAACAAGTTAGTGGTGTTGCCATCACTTGCCTTGACACTCTCCTTGCAAACTTTGCAAATGACGTTTCGCTGCTCTTTGACATCTGGTGAAAAACCAAACCAGTTCCATATAATGGACGAGGCGTTCCTCTTCGGAACGAAAACCTCGTTGTCGCTCTCAGCCGCGGCCGAAGCCATGTTTGTTCACACACAGGTGAAAACAAGCGGGGCACTAATATATTACTATGACTCACTCTGATTGGTTAAGGGTCAAACAAAGGTGTGTCATTCGCCTGGGGTAAGTTCCATTTTCATTCAGAGGCAGAATTTCAACAGCAGAGCTGTGAATCGTGATAAAAAGGTCTCTCAAAAATGACAGACCATCAGATGTGTAGATCGTAAAACGGTCTAAAATCGTCATATCGCCCAGCCCTACCTCAGAGTTGGAGGAGCCAACTCTTTTCTCGATCCCTTCACACTTGGCTGTGAACCAAGCCAGTGCAATTTAAAGTTTGTGGCTTGAAGATGGCAAAAGAACCACATCATCTGCAAAAGAGTAGAGATTAGATGGACCTCAAAGATGACCCTAGCAACCACAGCAGACATGATCATAAGACTTCTACCTCCACAAGATTTGCAAGATGTGGGCAACAAACTTCGTTCTTTGGTCTGTGGACCTTTGACCCAATAACCAAATTCAAAAATACCCACTAAAATTGTTATGTGGTTTCCGTTTTTGTCCCCAAGAGGAAGGTGAGTCTCCACAGTCTGGGTAAACACACACACACACACACACACACACACACACACACACACACACACACACACACACACACACACACACACACACACACACACACACACACACACACACACACACACACACACACACACACACACACACACACACACACACACAGTGTTGAGTCAAGAATAACAACTTTGTAAAAGTTAAGTGTGCATGAGCCATGCATGGATTCTTGTGTGTGTGTGTGTTTCTGCGCGCGTGTGTGTGTGTGTGTGTGTGTATTCTTGGAGTCATTTCCTCTGCCTGTCTCAAAATCACTCCGAGGGAAACAAAAGAAACTGACTTAAAGGTACAGCTTTTCCTCCAAAACAAGTCCCGCGTAAACGTGAGAACTAAACAGTCTCATGAATCAAAAGGGTTCAGAAAAATAAAACCTTGTGATCAAACCTCTGCAGTTTTCCAGTGGCTGTGGTGTGAGCAGCGTTACCCATGTAGCCACACGCTGTGATGAAAAGCGGTATTTAAAGCAACAGGCTCATGCTAAACCACTTCAGAACAAGCCCTTCTACATCTGACCTCATTCCATGTGTACAGTAACTTGGTAGGGAGATTTTATTAAAGCTGCTTCACAACCAGCAAGATGTGACATGACACAACAGCACAGAGAGCAGCGCTTCTATAGAGTTGTAAAAATCTGCCTTGTCAAGTTTAGATTGTGCTCTTTGTGTCGGCCATCAAAGAGGAAACAGACAGGAAGTAGCTGCCACAGGAAGTCCAGGCATGGAGAAGACTGCTCCCCTGAAGACCCCCTGGGACCACAACTCAGCACAAACAAGCTAACGGTTAGCAGTGTTCATCTCTGCTGGTTTTGTCAACTTTGTTTACAAGTCAGGACAAACAAAAAGTAGAAAATTGGAGTGTTTATTGCGGGGATTCAATCATCTTTGATACAAAATATTATTATCATGAAGCGAGGTTGAAAACAGATCCTAAAAAGCTGTTAAATTGGGGCCCTAGGGCATTGAAGCAATAAAACTGCCGGTTCTGACATGAAAGAACGCCAGCATACACAGGAGACTAAAAACTCAAGCAGAAAAGTTCACACTGTTTCTGTGCACTTTCACCAAGAACTTTCCCCAAAATAAACTTTTCTAAATGACATTATCAGACTATAAAAGCCAACACTGATTATGGCAGGCTAGTCTACTTGAAACGTTCTTCTGAGCTCTTAAAAAATGTCTTCGTAACACCTGTGATATGTAACAACAGCAGTAACACCTGGAAAGCAGGGTTTTGTTTTGCTGAGAATGCATTGGAAATATTAAGTAACCCAACATCCCCTGAGTCAGCCACTGACACAATATAGAAGTGCTTATTATAAGGACACGTCACTGAAGAAG